ATGTGGGGAAATAGACTCAATAGTGCACTTTCTACTGCAATGCCCACTTAATGCTATGGGCCTATGGCTCGGACGGAGCTAGGAGAGACCCTCCTAGCTCCAGAGTCTGATTCCGAACCCTTGGACCCACGGTTGAAATATATAAGGTTGACCCACGAGGATTTCCGTCTTACAGTTCAGCTTTCTTGTTACGTCACTGAGATCAAGAAACGTAAACAAACCCGTCATTCCCATGACGGATTGGTTGACTGGTTTGATCGCATTTCGGTGATTGGTTAAAGCCCGTGACGTCACTGAGATCAGTGACGTCACAGGCGAACAACAAACTACATCCGCACAAATGAGCTTCTCATGGGTCAACCTTATACTAGTTCAACCATGTGTGGACTTGCCAGATATTCTCAGAAACATCAGTGGGTCTTTATGTCCAAATCGTGACGTTCTATTGCACACGACACGGGCTGAGAGCGGACGTGACACTGATACCATTTTTTGCCACGCCAAAACATGTCAGGATTGCACATCCTAAAGTGAGAATTGCATCGCTATTGTATGAAGCCTCACTCATTTCTTTAATAGTATGCTTTTTATCGCGCTGTTTTATGGAAATGAATGAAAACAAGAGCGTATTAAGACACAAATTATCTCCAAAAGGAATGTATTTTGTTTTTGTTCAGGATTACACATCTGAGGAAGCGCTGTTATTATATTGAATTTTTTAACGTACTATGGTATCCGGTTGTTTTCGGTTTTTATATATGAAAGTTGTTAGGATTGCGGTTCCAATAGTTGTGAAGCCAAAATATTTCTGATTTCATTCGAAAGTTTCAAGCGTGAAAGTTTATATTTCTCGATTTCTCTTATCAGGTTTGGTATGTTACTTTAAGTGATGGCAATTAATTTACTTGGCCCCATTAAGTCAAAAATTATGTTATTTGAACCCAAAGAATTTTTTCCTGTTTTGATATTCACATATTTATTAACTTCATTAGGTACCTGTTTAACACGTTGACTACGATTGCTTCATCTAGTACTATTATTCATTTTTTTGTACTGTTTTTAGACAGGGTTGCCAGACGGTCATTTTTTCCGGACAAATTCTGTGATTAAGTTTTTCTCAATTGCGTTGGCCGGCTAAAATTTATGATATAGGTACTTTCTAATTACATTTTAAATACTGCAAAAAGAAAATAAATGGAATTTTTATAGCGGACCCTACAAATAAACTAGTATATATTGAGTTATCGGCCTTTTTGGCCTTTTTTGCGCATTTTCTCATTTATTGAAAAAATGCACTATTGTGCTCGCCATGTCCGTCTGTCTGTCTGTCTGTCCGTCCGTCCGTCCGTCCGTCCGTCCGTCCGTCCGTCCGTCCGTCCGTCCGTGACATCAAGTTATCGTCGACGAAAAAATGCGCACTCTGTCACTCACTGCAGTGAGTACTGAGTTATATTTTTTGTTCTCGGACTTGGCCGATTTTAGGCAACCTGAATTATGTACCACTACGTCCTGGAGAAATACATTTCGTGGTACGCATATGTTATACTTCGTAGTCAACGTGTTAATTCAACTATACACAATATCAGCCTGACGAAACAAAATTGATTGCTCTGGGACCGTGTGTAGATCAGCATCGTTACAAGGCTATTACATTTAGATCTTGCATGATACCACGATGGTCCTACTTCCTATTCCTATTAAACTGAGATGACTTAACCGGAACGGAGACTCACTCCTGGTACGAAGAGTCTGATTCCGAACCCTTGAGCCTTATAGGATTTGGAGGATGAACCCTTATTTGGATTTGGTTGCGTACCTGTAAGCACCGATAAGGCTAATCGCTTTTGACGTAACCGCACCTATGGTGCGAAATAGATCAAGATTTTCCGAAGCGCTAGAAAAACTCGTACTACTTCTACTTAATATTCGAGCGGCATTGCCGACAGTTAACGTATTCGTAGACTCTGTTGAACTTTACACTTGGCCTGCAGGGCGCCACGCACGTTTGGTGGCGGCGGCTGGATCGGACAGCTAAGGACTGGATCCTCGTCGTGATACGTCGTCCTGAGCGTCGTCAGCGCCTGCTTCCCCTACCATCACGGGATGACGGTGATGACGTGTTACAGGCGTCACAGGATGACGGTGGTGACGTGTTGCCGGAATCGCTCCCCCCACACGCCATCTACCACAGGCTGGACCTCCTGCCTCCTGAGAGGGCACTTGTGTGTAGGCAGTTCTCCCAGATGGCGACTTTTGGTGAGTTATATGCCATGCACGCAACCTAAACGCTATTACGTGCCATTCTATTCAATTTCAATTCAAACATTCGCTCTAGGTCTTTTAAATGTTTGTCCTCCCTCCCACTTAATTTTTCCTAAATCTTCTCCCTCAATTTATTCATAATGTTCTTCTCTGTTAATTCATTCTAAATGTTCTTCCTTCCCCAATTCGATCTAAATGTTCTCCCTATTTTAATTCCAAATATTCATTCTCAATATATTCTTAATGCTCTATCTGTTCTCAATATTTATGCGTGCATTTGTTCTCAGACGCGCCCACGCTGTACGTGAGCCCGCGCGCCCTGACCGTGTCGGGTCGCGCGGCGCTGTTGTCCGCGCAGGCGCTGCGCAAAAGCGAGGAGCGTCGCATTGCGCGCATCATGCGCTATCTCGTCGCGCTTGACGGCGGCATTAATGCGCTGCTCGACGCCAACGCCTCGCATGAAGCGCTTTTGGAGCACAATGCGCGACTCAGCTTCTACTCAGACGCATACCCGCTCGAAGAAGAAGAAGAGACGTACGCTGAAACGGCCGAAACTTTATCGAGTTTCGATTTTGTTAAAACCGTCGAGTTTGATAATGAGGGTTTTGGCGGGGCTAAGAAAAAGCTACAGAACAAATTCGAATCTGATAATCGCGGTTTAGATACATGGTTGAAGCTCGAAGAACATGCAGAATCGTATGCTGAATTTCCCGATGATAAAGTAGGCCAAATGGATGCTGATAAGGAAGGCGAGGCGGGTGTTGAAAAGCCTGGTGGTTTTAGTGTGTCTGGAAAAACGTCTCGGAAGAAATCTGAGTCTGAGAATCCCGGTCTGAATCCATGGCTGAAGAATGAACTGGCTGCCTTGTATTCCGTAGCCGAGGAGTGGCAGCATGATTCTGATCAGGATAATGAAACACAGCCGTTCATCATCCGCAGGTGAGACTAACTTAATTTATTCTGTTATATACGTAGGGGAAATGTATGACATTGAATATCCTATTTGTTTCTGAACTTCTAATACTTGTTTTGAGTTGTTGATGCTGATTCATATACTTTGTATATTACACGCCTCTAGCGTTCAAGAGTAAAACAGGACTATTATAAAAAAACGAATTGGTCATATAGTGCAAATAAGGACACACTTTTTGTACGTAGCGCTGAGACGCTCATAAGCCAGGCAGCTGTGTCCGGAGTACCCACACAAGAGCAAGAAGTGCATCGCTATTTGAACAATGTTTCACTCATTTGTCTGAGTGTATAACATAATTAGGGTGAGGGATGCTCTTGTTCTTATGAATATAAGAATGTGTGACGTGTTGTTATCCCTGCACAGGCTGGGGGTGTTGTCATCAGGCGGGTTGGTGGAGTACCCAGGGTTTCTGAGCTCCCCTGCTCTTCAGAGTCGTCGCTTTGACTGGTGGCTGGGGCGCGCTCTGACGCCCCCCCTGACGTCCCGCCTGCTGCTGCCGCCCAGGCTGGACGACGCGGGGGCGGGCTACATCGTCACGGTCGCCGCCGCTGTCGTCCATGTCAGAACAAATGTTAATGAGTTAACAGGGGGCCTGATATGTTAATGAGGACTTAACAGGGGGAATAAATTCAAAGGCAGATGAAGAAGTTCCTAGGTGTCGATAATCTTATACTTTCATGAATAAATTGCATTCCAGAGTGTAAAGGCATCGATACATTTAAAGGCAGATAAATAGATTGCATTTTGGATTGTGTAGGCGTCCAAAAATTTAAAGGTAGTTAAATAAATTATCAAATTCCCATACGTATCTGCCGGAGTGAAATTGGTAAATGCACGTGAGCGACAGACTCGACTTAAACTATTGCAAAAATAGAGATCTCTACTGATGTTCAGCTTGTCGATGTTGCCTTGATTGATGTTACTTTATTGATGTAAACCTTATGGATAATACCTTATTGATTATTGATGATATCGTATTGGTGGTAACCTTTTTGATTACTAATGTTAACCTTATTGATTATTGATGTTAGCCTTATTGATTATTGATGTTAACCTTATTGATTATTGATGTTAACCTTATCGATTATTGATGTTAGCCATATTGATTATTGATGTTAGCCTTATTATTATTGATGTTAGCCTTATTTTACGCCAGGGTGAGAGCGAGGCGGTGTTGGCTGCTGACCTCACGCTGGGCTACTGGCAGCGGCTGCTGCTGGAGCTGCACCCGCTCTGTGACACCACAGGTCCACTCAATCTCTTATCGTTACTAATCCACATACTAATCACTTTGCATAATTAGGGTTATTTATTAGTATCTGAATTACTTTTTTCTCCTTGAATAATTACTTGAAGATTTAGAAATAGTTTCAATTAGTTCTCCACAAGTTTTTTGCCAGCATTCATTTTTATGTTCAAAAATTACTCCTTGTCAGAAATGGCCGTGATAATTCGACATATATGTTAAGTTATTACTTGGTTTACACGAGGGGCATTTATGTTGAATTGAATTAATTTGTTACTGATCCTGTTGAATATTACATTGACAAATTTTGAAATCATTTAAAGTATAATTGTTATGTATTGTAAGTAGGTATATACCTAACTTGCCAAGAACTAACTGGAGATAATTGTAACTAATAAGAGATAATTCTAAGNAACTTGCCAAAAACTAACTGGAGATAATTGTAACTAAGAAGAGATAATTCTAAGAGAGATGATTAGATAATTGTAACTGTAAGTACAAGTATGTGTAACTGTAAATACATGCAAATGTGACTGTGAGTATGAGTACCGGTACTCATAACTGTAAGTACGAGTACATGTAATGGTAAGTACAAGTACGTGTAACTGTAAATACATGCAAATGTGACTGTAAGTACGAGTATGCGTGACTGTAAGTACGAGTACATGTAACTGTAAGTACTAGCATGGGTGACTGTTAAGTACGAGTAATGTTCGTAGGCCGCTACGTGTACTTAGGCCGCTACCTGTTCTTATGCCGCTACATGTACTTTAGCCGCAACGTGTTATTAGGCCGCTATGTGCACTTAGGCTGCTACGTGTACTTAGGTCGCTACTTGTACTTAGCAGGTACTCTATTTCACTCAACTCCAAACAAACTAAGAAAATCCTTTTCATTGCACTCAAAATAAACTGCAAAAACTACATTTCCTTCTGCAAAATACTCACAAATGCTCTCAAATGTTGTGTACAGGAGCCGCTACTGTCGATGGCGCTGCTGGACGCGGCGCCCTCAGGAGGGGCGCCGGTGCTGCAGAAGCTGTCGTGCGCTCGTCCCTGGCGGGGGCGCCGCGAGCGCCGCTACCGCCTCACGCTGCCCCCCGGCGCCCCCGTAGCCTCCCACAGCTCCCACCAGCCCCCCGGCAAAGTTAGTCCACGCATTTCTTATCTTAACCATTAAATAATGTTTAATCTTTCATTTTATATCATGATTATTAATTAACGTTTCAATTGTAGTTGGTAATTTCCATTCATTTCTTTTATTATACTTATTACGGAACAGGCTTATTTTATGAACTTGACAAGAGTTATTTTTATAAATTTACATCTATTAAAAAGGAAATTTTTTTCATAAAGCAGAAATTTTTAAGAAGATAGACTTTTAAAATAGAAAAACAAAGCAATGATAATACAGAGCTGCTAACTCGATGAACCCAATAATAATTAATGGGAAGCTTAGGGTTGAAACTTATTATTTGATCAATAATATATTTGATCCGTAATTATATCAATTACTCAAATAAGAATGTGTGAAGTAGAACTTCTAAAGTCACGTTCGTTTTCCAAACTTTGGACTTAAGCCGCTACGTGAACTTGAACAAATTTTGAAAGTACGGACTCTGTGCTCTCATGAAGTTAACTTTCGTTTTCTTAGAAGAAACGTACTCTTTCAGAGTTACTCGTAAATTAATTTTCACTACTGATAAACTTTTCCTCGTGTTAACTAAATTGAATTTCACTTTTTTTTTAACTTTCCCTCGTCCGTAATGAATATAAAAACGGCACAAATAATTTTGTCGCAGTGGTGCGTGTGGTACAGCCTGGCTGCCGTGCCAGGGACGAAGCTCATATTTGGTGTGGTGAACCAAACCTGCGACACCGCCACGGCCTTCTGCCCCTGCAGTCTAGTAAGTCAGGAGGCAGAAAGTCTTTTATCTAGTTTTTTATGTTTTATAAGATTATTATGTTTTGTGAAGCGCTACAAACACTTCTACCACTTGATATATTAGACGTGATAATAATGTTTTACGAAGCGCTATAAAACCTTCTACCACCTGATACTAGACATGATAGTTCTGTTTTATGAAGCGTTATTAAACCTTTCATCACTTTATACTAAACATGTTAACATGATAATAAGGTTTTTATAAAGCGCTATTTAAACCTTTCATCACTTTATACTAGATGACGAGTTATTTGCTGTATTCTAATACCTATTCTAACTGAGTACTAAATACAAACTATTGATCGTTAAGCTATCTATGATGCTAATACTTGCTTATGTTTGCTCAGGTTGACCGCCTCTGCCTCAACTGCCAGTTCGTGGAGGCTAAGGCGTGCGAGTGTCCCTGTGAATGCCCCACGACTTCCCCTTCTCAGTGCTCCACGAATTCTTCCTCATCCAGGGGGAACTGGCGCAACCCCACTCAGCCTGAGATGCTCTGTCCACTAGATCCCCCTATGCCATCCCTGTCACACCCTCAGCACGTGGGGCTCTTGGGGGAACTTCAGTCGTGTCAGACCGGGACATGCGGGGACCACACGACGCGGCACACATGCCTGGGACGTCCAGGGTGTGAATGGTGTTCTTTAACGTCCCCGACGAACGCCAGTGAAAACGTCTGGGTGTCTTTGGAAGAACCGAGCTGTGTTCCCCACCCTGAGTGTCCTGGGGGAGTTAAAGGGGGTGTTTCACCCTACCCTCGGGGGCTTGTCCCACAGCCCCGACACAGGGAGTCGTACAGGACTGGTGGAGGCAGGTCCCTGCCGCTGGCTCCTGGTGGGTCAACGATTCTTCATTAATGATCTAGTAAAAAATAATTATAATAATTATATTTAGTGCTTTTAAATGGACTGACTTCTTAGTTTAGTTACAGTTGAGTGAGTTGAGTCACTCAATCTACAGTTGAGTGAGTTTAAAGTGATAATCATCTCAAATAGTTTTGAATATGTGAATTTTATTTATGGATACGAGAAAGTTATCTTGTAATAAACAGGATGACATTCCTCTTCCGTGCATTGTGTAGTGACTCATTTCGAGATATTTCCATAGCACTTATTTCCATTGAAAATTAACGTTCTTGCACATGTTCATCTTGACCATGATGAACGTTGTTGACGTGATGACATTGTGGTTGCAGTGCTGGGGGTGATGGTGGGGTTGGTGATGGTAGCGGGGGTAGGGGCGGCGTACTGCTTCCACCAGCACCAAGGCGTCATGGGAGCCGTGACGCTCACGTCGCGCCCCGGCGCCCCGGAAGGCTACACACCTGCTGGTCTGCTGTCCGCAGGGCACGTGACTACGGCCCTCGAGGAGGAGCTTATACGTGAGACTTGATTATTTATATTATTGTTCCTTCTGAGGTAATGGCATTACTCTATGTTATCCTTCTATATTACCCCTCAGGGTTAAAGCAAGAGATTTCTATTCAAATTTGAAGGAATATCTGCGTATAGCTAAAGCAGCAGGCCAACGCTAGAGATCCATCAAAAAAATCTTATTGATTTTCATTGATTTGTGCTTGTGCTTCATATTTGTTTGTTGTTTAATTTTTCTCTTGGTTTAATTTTGTGTGCGGTATAATTTTGCTCCTAGTTCAATTGTGCTCATGGTCGCCTGTGCAGTGGACTGCCAGTTGGGGGCGGCCGCCATGAGCCCGTACCGCATGAACCCCGCCTACCGGAGGCCCCCCGCCCCCGGAGGCGACCCCAGTGACCCGGGGTACTCGACCATGACCCCTCACGACGATGTGCCCCAGCGCTCGTCCTCGTCGTCGTCGTGCCTGGCCATAGGAGTTCAAAGTCCCAGCAAGAACGGCAAGCCAAGCAGGGACGGCCGCGCGCTGCTGGCCAAGAAACGGCGTCCTTCCCGCGGTCTCAGCAGCCAGCCTGAGGAAGACTGCGATGAGAACAGCTCTTCTCCTTCAGGAGTCTTTAAAGGACTCGCATCCTCTTCGCTTTTGAGTGGTGATCACGAGCCACCGACACTAGACTGGTCGCCTGAGCAGCTCTTGCAATACTTCGACGACTTCGACACAGGTCAATGTCGTCACTGTAACGCTCCCGTCAGTGATGGTGTCTGCTGCAACTGTGAGCAAACTCCGTGTGAGGAATGCAGGTCTCGCCCTGCTTGTCAGGAATGCCATGACTCTGCCTCCTGCAGCAGATGCCGGGACCAGAGTTCTTGTCCTTGCAAGTCCAAAAAGCGTCGCCGAAGTCGTCGACGCGCCGGTGGCGGCAGCGTTAGCGATGGAATCGAAAGCGACGTTGCCAGCGATGGCGGTTGTTTTGCCAACGCTGTTTTGACGTCGCCTCAGAAAATTGGCCCGAATCAAGTGATTGTTGCAGTCACAGTACACATGGTGGACAGCCTCTAATTTCTGAGGTCATAGTGCAAACTTAGCTTAAGCTCTTCGATGTTTAGGCAGATCAGGTTCAGTATTTGTACTCTTTCGTATCCATAGACATTGTCCGTGTATATATTATATTGATGGTTCCCAGAGTAATCCAATATAGACGTAGGACGTAACCATCGTTGGTAATGATTGTATTTTACATGTCGGTAATCCAGGGACCCAAATCTGCGCGTAATATTTTTGAAAGGTGCTATACACTTCTGCTTCCTGTTGCCGTGCTTCTCAGTCAGACGTTCAACTGCCAAGTAATGATGTGCCAAATTGACTGCCTAAGTGAACATTTTCGGGAGATTCCTATGAGTGAGTTGCCCTAATGTTAAGTGATAAAATATTGCGCCATTATTTTGTGAAATGAAATTTGCTGTTATGAGATTTACATGAAACTTCGTGCTAGCTCAGTTTGACAGCAACAAGAGTTTTTCAGTGAGGTGGAACTTTTTAACCACGTTGTAGGCGAATTTTCTTTTATGATCTCAACGACTGCCAAGTTTTGCCATGGCAATTAACTTTTTCACCTCCATTTGTATGTTTTTTCTAAACCCAGGATATTTCTTGCATTTATGAAGAGCATTATGCAATGATGGCTCCTTAGGTTAGGTAATTGGAAGAAAACTTGCACGCTTCGTAATTTCTTATTATATTAATATATTTAGAATTAGATATTTATTATAATAATTTCAGCTCTCCAGTTTCAGGATGGTGTTCCATCACAGTTTTCCTTGTTAAATTGTTACTAAGCCCAGTAATCGGAGAAAACGCAATCTTAAGTCGGCTCATGTTATGAATAACTTGTTCAAGTACACGTAAGGTCCTTAATAACGATATGGCATATTTATCATTTATGATCGGTGAGTTAAGCTTGGTGAGTATTTGAGAAGGTTTTAGAGGCAATATTCCGTTCTAGTGTTATTTATTTAGAGTACAATTTCCGTTGCGATTAGCGTTAGCGTGTTGATCACTCTAACGCTTTACATACATTCTATTTGCCAGTATTTCATGTTTTTGGTTATGAAGAGAAGGATCTACAGTTGGGGCAATCTAATTTGCAGTCGTTAAATTTGAGTTTCTCATAGACAATTATTGTATGTAGTACGTTGATTCTAGATGATATGATAGTGTAGGACTCGCTGTCGTCGCCCCCAGTAGTCTCCCGTTAGTTGTCTAAATGACCGTCAGTTAGTTCGAGTTCGATAGTTATTAAGTTATGTAAGCGAATGTTAAATAGATACGCTGTGCGCAATCTGCTATAGGATTTGTATAATAATTATTTCTCAGGAGTTAGTGTTCTATGTGCAGCTAAAGATGCAATTTGTGCTGGACTCGTTTTCCTGTCAAGAAATTTTCTCTTTCTCAGCAAGAAAGTTAACACCTATGTGTAAAATTATTATTAATTTAATTAATGTAATTATTATTATCTTCATCTGTACAAAACATGTATAATTTGATAGTGACAAAATCTGACAATTGAACAAAAACAAACTTTCCTCGCTAATTAAGGAGGTTAATTGACACATATTAGACAGTATTTATTCTCTCTGACAAAACAATAAGCATTCAAAAGATATGCAAGACAATACAGACTAGGGGCCGTACAAGAAACAAAGTTTTTCCCGTGAATTAAGGAATTCTCTCCGATTTCGAGTCGATGACATAATATTACTGAAATGCAAAGTTGTTGTTGAAATTGTTGAATTGCTGCGCCATTCCAACTGCACAAGTCACGTTATCAGTCAACGCTGTCATTCAGAAAGCTACAATGCTCTAGACATCTATTGTTCTTCATTTCTGATTGCTTCTGGAATAATTGTTCATCTTTTACTGATATTTGTTATCAGCTTTAACGTTGAATTTTAAGGGAATTTGTTACCAATCGGCACGCAAATTGATTAAATATGAACAAAACAATTTGATTGAATTATACGTTTTCTCAAGCCTGCTTCATGCACGCTTTGCGTCCAAATAGCGCGTGCTTCAAGCCATGGAACACCAGAAAAGTATACAGCAAAATGCATAGAAATATCAGATTAGAGGAATCTACACAGGATTAAATGCACAAATACTTCGTAGCTCAGCTACGACAGCGACCGAGAAATAACGTTTCTCGCGAATCTCAAGAACTTCTCTCATGAAGGCACAATAATTTACGTACTCATAGTTAAAGAAAAATGTGAAATGCTTCATCAGTCAACATCTCGTGAAATAGACAAGCTTCATCGGCAATAATTTTTCGTCTCTTTCCTGACACGAACCTTGCTCCATGAACTACTGACTCAGAAACGATTAGACCAAAGGTCAGCAAGCATTCCCACAATTTTGACTAATTGTAAATGTCTCAATACAATTGTATATGCCACATATTTCATGAGAATGAAAAATTTCAAACTGTCACCCTCTTAGTAAAGTTTCACTTTAACCAGAATTTTTACCTCCGGGATAAACTCAGAACATATCCCAGTATTAAGTAATGAATAATATTATACCTCCATAATTTGGGCAAATAAAAAAAAATTCTAATGAACTATCAACCCAGCATGAATATTAAAGTCAGGGAGCTCATTGAACTCAGCGCCTCAAAATTAAAAATTCGTTTCATAAACGAAAACCTCCACAAAAAAATCTTATAAACGCTGAATATAGAAATTAAATACATTTCTAAATTGAAGAGTCGATTTTTACAAAGAAATGTATTTAATACTTAAAAGTACATTATAATCCCATTAAACAATACTAAATTTAAATAAATAATATACACATATATGGCAATCGTACGACGCACTGCACAATGCAAGACCAAACATAGAACTCATCAATAAAGATAATCTTATACTCTAAATAGCAGGGGCAAGCAGACGCAACGAAATACTCAAATTTACCGGGATTTCTAGATTCGCCGGCTCAGTATTTGGCACTGTACGATTTACAGCTTACCGTGCACCACAGCCTGCTACTGTAAGAAGCTACTTTGTGGTACGTTACTTCGTTGTACGAGTGTAACACCGAGGGAACAATTGGTCATTTGTTCCTACAACTGTAAAACCAAGAAAAATGTCATTTTGTTCCCATGAGCGTTGAATTCTTTCAGCTCATGAAAGAAAGATACAAGTTTGATGATTAGATTCTTTAAAACATGTGTAAAACCAAGAAAAATGTTATTTTGTTCCCATGAGCGTTGAATTCTTTCAGCTCATGAAAGAAAGATACAAGTTTGATGATTACATTTTTTTAAAACATGTGTAAAACCCAAGAAAAATATGTTATTTTGTTCCCATGAGCGTTGAATTCTTCCAGCTCATCAAAGAAAGATACAAGTTTGATGATTACATTTTAAACAGCACTTCGTTATCATTTGTAGATGGGTTTTCAAAGCTTGTTTTAAATTTACGCATTAACACATGCTCATGTGACGATTAGAATGTTGCTACTGTCATTTAAAAATTAAGATTTTCAAATGGTATGTCTTTAACATTGAGATTAAAGTCAACAAATTACAAGTTTCTCCTGACGACATAAAATACCAGCGAATATAAAGGCTTAAATTAAATTATTCAACAGTTATTCAACAGCCCTCCTATGACCCTGAGACTGAAGATGCTCAGTTAGTCACAGACGCTAAACATTCCTCGTTAAATCTGGTCAGTCTTTACAAAACATTTATCAGCTTTTTCTAACAGAACAGAACAATGGGAAAATAGTTTAATTGGCGCGGATGCTTTCACTAGTGGAATAGGCCAATTCACCGTACGAAATCTTACACATTAGAATTCTGAGTCATGAAGCTTTCTTCGTAGGAAGGTTCAATGAAAGAGTAAACCTTTTCGTCTAATTACTGACTCTTATTACCAGGCCTTTATAGGTACGAATATCATTTAAATCGGTTAATGAATCAGAAGAAATTTCTGTCTTCTTCAAACTTTCCTCACCCCATGAATAAAAGATACAGAAGCTAGCGGGATGTAAAATTCGGCGAAACAGGTTACTGCTGATGACAAATACGTGCCGATTACCTAAAATGCTACGAATTTAGGTTCACGAATTGCTTTTGTTTACGTCGATACTAAATAACTTAGTATTGCTCTATTGTTACATCCATAACACACGATGTTTCAACTTCTAGTAATTCCAAATCTTTACTTTTCATGTTTTGCAAAATCATCATTCGACTCAAGAATGAATCATGTTCATTCGACGCGTCGTAACGTGATAATAAAGTGTGTCTTGCAACTACAATTTATAGAAAGAAAAGATTTTGAATAAATTTATATTGATAATGAGATAATTTATAATGATAATAATGTCATTGTTGGAGCGTCTGGGCAGCATGGCCTCCGTCCAGACTACCGACACGAGGCACGTTAGATAAAGAAGCTTTGTTTGAACCATACACGCAGCTATAAACTATACATGCTGCCATTAATAGGAGTACAAATTTCAATTTCATTCATTTATAGATACATTATACGTCATCAGCGCTATTCGTATCTAAAGCTGTGGAAATTCAATCATATTCGTAACGAAAAGATAGGTAATCCAATGAAATTCCTATCCAAATGATAGGTATAATCCAATGCTATTCATACCTCAAGGCCTGGTAGTTACCCTCAGCTAGAAACGAGAGTTACTAGTCAACAAACAAATGGTTCCCGGCTATTAAATTATAATAAGAAACTATAACAAGACAACGCAATACTGCACGTAAGGAATGGCGGGAATAGAGTGCGCAACTATAGCGCAAAAGCAGGTCACAAAATAAATCGCGTTTTCTTTTAACAATTAACAGAGAAAACTGATACGAATACAATAGTCTAGCATTCATCCACCGATATTAAATTTCAACGGGAAACACACCCTAATAAGGCCACATCAAATAAACTTACCAGTAAATACATTTTTTAGCTTGCTCTTCAAGTACCCTACAAACATTTATTCTTCGAAATTTTTGTGTAGCCTAACGGTTTTTCGCTGCAATTGAAAGATTTGTGCTCGTGCAAAGCCTCACAGATTGACATGAGTGTAACAAATCAACATTTCAGGGACTAAACATAAGGTGCGGCGAACCCTCCAGCTCGAAAAAAAAGTGGAGTCGTCCCAGCTTCCATGATTTGGAAACCAGAGCGGCTCCCAATTTTGTTTGGAGAGGAGCTAGAACGCACAACGCCTCTACACGGGGGCGAACACTTGATGCGATTTCTAAACAGCCACGCAACAAATGAAAGGACGGACACTAACAAAATTTAGAGCCGCCTCAGTTCCCAATTATCAGAAGCTGGGGCAGCTATGAATTTTTTCGAGGAGCTAGAACACATGAAGCCTAAGGACAAACACGAAAATGTGATACGATTCCTCGACACATTGAATGTACGTCTCAACACACGTTACGAAGTAAACGCCACACAACGAGAGCATTTAACATTCAACGTACACGCAGATGGTGAGACGAGAAAAGTACACGTTATACTTCATAAATAGAGAACAGAGAAACCACACAGAACTTCACATCGTTACGAATAGGTAACGGAGTTTCCACACGAGAGCTTTTGAAACATTGTCAAAATTCAGTTTAATTAAACGCTAAAAAAACATAATTCCGGCAATGTTGTAAATTCGATTGTGCTAATACGGTAAATAACGTTTATTTCTGCCACGATCATTCGATCATATCTAGCTTATGATCCCTGGGAAATACAGAATTATTTTCAAACCTGTAACACGTGGTGAAATATTTACTGATTCTATTCTGAGGATGATATCCTAGGAACGTTCCTTCAAAGAGAAAATAAAGCTGTACTTATTGCAAGTTTCAAAAGTATAATTCCAAATGAGATGGAAATTTGTGCAAGAATAAGCGTTGAGAAGACCATACATGAATGCCTTGCACACATTTCTTAAGGGAGCTCCGGAGAAACCTCGTTCAGTTCATAAGGAGCTAGAATAGAAGTAAGACAATTAAATAATTTGATAATAGCGCTGTTTATTTCCAAGTTATAACTTGCGATTCAGGCAATCATTTGACATTAAAAGAAGAGGAGAACGCGTGATTTTGAAGATGAACGGCAAAGTTGCTCGGTCCGATGACTGATTAATCGTTGATTATTTTCTGCAAGATCATCCATAAAGCGATAGTTATAATGAGCGCATGCAAACAGTTCTACAGCGCTAATGGTAACAATAATAAATAATATGAACTTCTACCTGTAACTACCTACAGTTCAACGAATCAGAACGACTACATATACATTTCTCGGACTTTGGGTGGGAGGACTGTGAAATATGTTTTAAACATATATACATATATTAGACGTGAATTTCTGGTAAACTGTTGAAAAATTAACGTAGTCTAGCCGCTGCTTTAGTCCAGCAACGCAGTAACATCTTATTTATTCTGGGGGGGGGGGGTAAAGCCCCTTTCGTCAGACGGCAGGGAGAGGAGACAGCACTGATAATCAGCAGTAAAAATAAATTATTAATCCTTCGAATTTATGGTAATTGGTTCAAAACGTGCGTAGATGATAATATTGAATGATGTGTTTGATGATGGTCAGGCATACGGGATGATGGACGAGTGGCGGACCAAGTCTACACTTTAAAAGCTCGTTCGAGTTAAAACCTTCCAGGAGTAAAATATAGTTATAAATGCTCGATGGTGTGCAGTAGGACACAGCTCCGACGAGGGCATTATCAGGATAAAACATTAGTTAAAAAGAATTACTTATACTAAAACATAGCATTGTTCGGCGCCACAAGAATGGATGGAAGTTTGCGGATTAAAAGTTGATCGCTAAGAGATCAACGCCTACTGAAACCAGGCACTCATAGGCGTATAACGGCCAGTCAGGTCCATACAAATAATCAACAGGCATTCAATGAAATACAGGAGTAAAAAGATACAAACAAAGACTTTGAGAAGGCGTTCAAATACATACAACAAATAAGAGAGATATTACCGTAAAATCCTCGATATGTCTTCAAAGGATAATGGGCATTAACGCCAAGAAATAAATGATGGCAGTGGTTGTTTGTTTGGCTCAGAAAAAAAGGTGAAGACTGTAGCAAATAAATTTTTCTCAGACAATGATCAGAATTAGAAGGCGAGTAAATTTGTAATTTAAATTATTAATCAATGAGCATCAATATCCATTTAGTGAACAAAATAAATAGCAATATAAATCAAACTTTTCGATATTAAAGATAAACAAAAACTTACATCTTTTTTCATCAATCAGTCGGAGACAATTTATAATTCACTAGCATGATAAGTTATTAAAGTTAACTAATATTCGTATAAACTCGTCCATAATTTAACAAAGTATCTAACTTCAAATCTTTGGTAGCTTTTCAGAGAACTCCAGTCGTATAAATTCTACTCCTCATGACAAAAGAATGGAAAACTTTTACCTAATTAAAAATTTTTAATGAAGGCAACGAGTATATGTTATTTTCAATAAGAAAATAAATTAAGTATGGAAAATTATGGAGAAATTTTAACCATCAATGGGCGATTTCAAACTAGTTGTTCTTTTCGATACATCATTAGTAGATGAGAAAAATTTTGAACACACTTGAATAAGAATTTTTGCTTCACACGATTTGCATTGTTTAGGCAATTAATTAATACAGGACGTAAACTTGGTTGTAGCTTTACACTTGACAACTTCTAAGACGCGTTTCATTTTGAGCAACTGCTAAAAAAAGAGAGACAGAATTTTCAGAAAATATTAACTTGCTTACTAGCATTCATGAAAATTAGAGCTAAAATTTAAGTTCATTTCCTAAGCACTTCACTTACTAAATTTTGAGCTTAAATTACATAGTAAATGAATCAAGTATAAAAACTCATGACGCAAAAATCTTTGAGCATAGGAACACCAGAAACCTCGGCTGGATGGATACGAAAGAGAACATTATGATTTCGAGACGAAAGCTCATTAGGCAGCAAACACAGGATTGGAAGATTAGATTACTGAGTTATCTTTTACAGATAGATTGGGACCAAGGACCCAACCCAAACGGGATATAATTTGAAATTTTAATATCCTAATCTCAAAATATACCGCAGTAATAGTAGTAGAAGGGCTTGGTAGCACTTCAGTTATCAAGCTACTACGCACCGGAGATTAAAAGATAACATCGCTAGAAAGTCGGAAGGTCTCAATTATTCAAAATTTCAAATTAAACATCACCCACACGGGACGGGAGGTCTCAGTTGTCCAGCCCGCTGAAGCTGGCTTAAAAAAAGCAGCGTTAGCATCTCAAAGAGACGAAGTGACAGGTGAAAAGTAACAGAAACGAAGACACTCGAACAAGAGGTTGCTTACACGGGACGTCGGCCGCCCGCACGAGAGAGACAGAGAAGGGAAATCCTACCTACATAATAACTTAACCCCACAACTGAGACCCGCAGTCAGACACAGCGAGCTCAGCAGTGATATGCAAGAACATTCCCCCTAGGAACGAGAAATTCCACAGGACTTTAGGCAAACCCAGACACGCGTCAGTAGTCCCTACTGAAGGGAAAGATACCCTACACCTTAAACAGAAAGATGTCAATGAACATCTTTTTGGCCCCAAAAAATACTAGCGCGCGAGTCGTGCTAGCTTTCAGATGCAAATTTATTCACTTAAAATAGCGAACCTAAAACTCGGCCTAAAAGCACAAGGCACATGCATTGCTTTATAGACTAGCTCAACTGAAAGTCTAATTGCTAACCCATTTCTTCCTGAAATATTTTTCTAGACTGAGTGTTGGTTTACGGTGTTTGCACCACTGGTGCCTTGAATGCTTGTGTTAACATCGTCTTGTTCACAGCGGCGCACTAACCAATCAGCATCAAACTTGATGAAACTAACAATAGAACACAGACTAGACACATTGGAACCACTTAGTTATTTGAGTGAAAAAAAGAAAGTTAACAATTCACAGAACAGAAGCATAAATCCCACAAAAGGAGTGATTTAACCGGTTTTAATTTACCCTAAAATTAACAATATTTCTCTCCAACAGGTATTTAGCATCAACAGAAAATAGAACTAATAGTCATGACATCTAGAAATTTTTTTACTGACGATATTGTGGTCTAGCCAAGAACAGAAGCATGGCAAGAGAAATTCCCAAGAGAAGTGCTTCTAAAAAATTTCATAATCGCGCCACTTTGAGCAAATGGAGGGGACTACAAACCTCCTACTGGCTCCTGACGTTTGATATCAATACATTGAAGAATTGAAATTCAACTTTCTTTCAAGCCCCACTTGCCATCACTACATTCCACAACAGTACGGCTCGTCTCGCACTTCAGGAAACATTTTATTATTCTACCTTCGCAGATTTGGCCATAGGAAGCTTCCTAAAGCAAGCCTTTACTATCTCTTGTGCACAACCACAGGCTGGAAGACAGCGCTGTTGGCTCGGCCTCGGCTGTCAACCGTGGGCTTCCCGTCTACGCCAAGATACAACTGCAGGCCAGGCTCTGAAAACAAGTAAACATCTTTACTAAATCCACAGGAAATTGCAAATTTGAATAGAAATAGTCGTGTTGGAATGTATGTAAAAGTTCTTTCTAATAGACAATTTCATGTCATAGGATGGAGAAATGGTAACAAAACAAAACAAATAGTTTTGATGAAAAGTTGCACGTGCCAACGAAAATCCAGCAATCATTGATCTGCTCACCATCTTGTGAGTCATTGTTGCTCTCACAGAGCTGCTGCTCAGGTATAGATTTTTGAAATATCTGGTTGATGATGTCGTCAGCGTCGACGCGGGTGGCTTCCACACGACTTTCTTTGGTGATGTCACCAGTTGAAGCTTTGATGAGGCGCCCTGATGCTGATAGGTGGGGCAGTGCTTCGCTCACGCATACCGGTGACCCCAGGCTATTACTCCTGCAAAAAATAGAACACATTTAACGGAAATTGTAAAAAAAAACGGGATATAATTTGAAATTTTAATATCCTAATCTCAAAATATACCGTAGTAATAGTAGTAGAAGGGCTTGGTAGCACTTCAGTTATCAAGCTACTACGCACCGGAGATTAAAAGATAACATCGCTAGAAAGTCGGAAGGTCTCAATTATTCAAAATTTCAAATTAAACATCACCCACACGGGACGGGAGGTCTCAGTTGTCCAGCCCGCTGAAGCTGGCTTAAAAAAAGCAGCGTTAGCATCTCAAAGAGACGAAGTGACAGGTGAAAAGTAACAGAAACGAAGACACTCGAACAAGAGGTTGCTTACACGGGACGTCGGCCGCCCGCACGAGAGAGACAGAGAAGGGAAATCCTACCTACATAATAACTTAACCCCACAACTGAGACCCGCAGTCAGACACAGCGAGCTCAGCAGTGATATGCAAGAACATTCCCCCTAGGAACGAGAAATTCCACAGGACTTTAGGCAAACCCAGACACGCGTCAGTAGTCCCTACTGAAGGGAAAGATACCCTACACCTTAAACAGAAAGATGTCAATGAACATCTTTTTGGCCCCAAAAAATACTAGCGCGCGAGTCGTGCTAGCTTTCAGATGCAAATTTATTCACTTAAAATAGCGAACCTAAAACTCGGCCTAAAAGCACAAGGCACATGCATTGCTTTATAGACTAGCTCAACTGAAAGTCTAATTGCTAACCCATTTCTTCCTGAAATATTTTTCTAGACTGAGTGTTGGTTTACGGTGTTTGCACCACTGGTGCCTTGAATGCTTGTGTTAACATCGTCTTGTTCACAGCGGCGCACTAACCAATCAGCATCAAACTTGATGAAACTAACAATAGAACACAGACTAGACACATTGGAACCACTTAGTTATTTGAGTGAAAAAAAAAATAAAGTTAATAATTCACAGAACAGAAGCATAAATCCCACAAAAGGAGTGATTTAACCGGTTTTAATTTACCCTAAAATTAACAATACTTCTCTCCAACAGGTATTATTTAGCATCAACAGAAAATAGAACTAATAGTCATGACATCTAGAAATTTTTTTACTGACGATATTGTGGTCTAGCCAAGAACAGAAGCATGGCAAGAGAAATTCCCAAGAGAAGTGCTTCTAAAAAATTTCATAATCGCGCCACTTTGAGCAAATGGAGGGGACTACAAACCTCCTACTGGCTCCTGACGTTTGATATCAATACATTGAAGAATTGAAATTCAACTTTCTTTCAAGCCCCACTTGCCATCACTACATTCCAAAACAGTACGGCTCGTCTCGAACTTCAGGAAACATTTTCTTATTCTACCTTCGCAGATTTGGCCATAGGAAGCTTCCTAAAGCAAGCCTTTACTATCTCTTGTGCACAACCACAGGCTGGAAGACAGCGCTGTTGGCTCGGCCTCGGCTGTCAACCGTGGGCTTCCCGTCTACGCCAAGATACAACTGCAGGCCAGGCTCTGAAAACAAGTAAACATCTTTACTAAATCCACAGGAAATTGCAAATTTGAATAGAAATAGTCGTGTTGGAATGTATGTAAAAGTTCTTTCTAATAGACAATTTCATGTCATAGGATGGAGAAATGGTAACAAAACAAAACAAATAGTTTTGATGAAAAGTTGCACATGCCAACGAATCAAAGCAATCATTGATCTGCTCACCATCTTGTGAGTCATTGTTGCTCTCACAGAGCTGCTGCTCAGGTATAGATTTTTGAAATATCTGGTTGATGATGTCGTCAGCGTCGACGCGGGTGGCTTCCACACGACTTTCTTTGGTGATGTCACCAGTTGAAGCTTTGATGAGGCGCCCTGATGCTGATAGGTGGGGCAGTGCTTCGCTCACGCATTCCGGTGACCCCAGGCTATTACTCCTGCAAAAAATAGAACACATTTAACGGAAATTGTAAAAAAAAACTAATTTCAAATTTGTGAAGGTAAATATTAAAGGATTCATTGAAAAACATACTCTTTTGACAAAGAATACCAAACGTGATGATTAAACATGACTGAGAGTATGTTCACAACTAAAATATTTAGCAGCATTAAAATACATCAGAATAGAATATTTTTATAACCCAAAAGCTTAAGAAACCTGTTGTGGCCGCTATTTTCTGATGCATAGCCTGAGGCCTGCGACTGGTGGCTTGTGTTGGAGGAGTTGCGGGTGTGACCGACCTGATCCACGGCACTAACGACTGCGATTGAGGAGGGGTTCTCACTCTCATCTGTTCATTCAGATAAAACAATACATAATTATATATCTTTATTGATGTATGAAGTTTAGAATGTAGAATCATCAAAAGATTATTTCTTGTTTAATGTATGAAAGTAGGCCCAAAGAATAAGTAAGAAAAATATAAAATTGAGCTTTCTTCAAGAAAAACCTATGAATCAGAAATTAAGCTTTTACTATTATATTCAACATCATGATAACAGTCTTGGCACCTTTGCTCACCAAACATACCGGTAGGTTAATATTAGTTTACCTTTAGACTTCTTATTTAAAGAATTATAGCCTGATGATGTGAGAGAAGCATGAGAGCCTTGAGCAGCAGGAGGAACGTCAGGTACTGCAGGCACCGGCCAGAAGTTCAAAGAATCATCTTTGCTGAGAAGGCTCGTTTCTACGCCTATGTTACTGGAGGCCCCTACAGTGCCACTGCTACCAGAGCTTGTAATCCCGCTTCTCTCTTTCCTGTGCAAAATAAAAAACAATATTATATATTGTAAATAAGCAATATTATTATTATATAGCATGATAAAATGACATTAAAAATTGAGAAGCCATTTACACAACAGAAAGTAAACACTAATACATTCAATCATTTACAATGAATGTACAGTGACAATATTAGCATAGAATGCACTGTAATTTACCTCTGGAAGTATCCTAAATGGGAAAATCAACACTTCAGTGTGTATCCTCAGACAATGAATGTGCCATATTGTTCAAAGAGCAACACACTTTACCCAAAGCACAGGCCAAGGATGGACATAGAACTGATAGGTATGCCATTTTGCCAAGCCAAACTGGATCAGGGTGACCCACACAGGGGCAAAAACGTACATTGCTATTTGGACAAAGCTCCTCTAGTTTCTGATAGTGAAAATACTTACGCCTTGAAGCAAGGATCGCCACAGAGGATAGTCATATGGACTGAGACTGTGAGAGTGGAGTTGAGAAGCCTGTGTTTGGTGTCGTATGCCTGCAGGAGATAACGATGATCTCCTCCAGAACCAGCAAATTCAGCCAAATTTATATCAGCAAATCCAAGCTTTTCATATGATTTGCCTCCACGTAACTCCTGTAGCACAAAAAATAATAAACTATAAATATTGAATATTATTACATATTAATATTAACACGTTGACTCCGAAGTGGTACATATGCGTACCACAAAATGTATTTCTCCAGGACATAGTGGGACATAATTCAGGTTGCCTAAAATCGGCCAAATCCAAGAACAAAAAAAGGCCAAAAACGGCCAATAACTCAATATATAGAAGTTTATCTGTAGGTTTCGCTATAAAAATTCCATTTATTTTCTTTTTGCAGTATTTAAAAATTCAATTAGGAAGTACCTCTATCATAAATTTCAGCCAGCCAACGCAATTGAGAAAAACTAAATCACGGAATTTGTCCGGAAAAAATGACCATCTGCCAACCCTGTTTAAAAACAGTACAAAACCGGAAATAATAGTACAAGATGAAGCAATCAGAGTCAATGTGTTAAATAACAGCATCTCAGTGAATAATGTATGAAATCAGATCCATCAAGTTTTCACAATTACTTTTGGCAGGCAATGTAACACAGGTATAACTTAGAATTCTTTTTCAAGGTCAGCATGAAAAGTATAACTAGTATGTATGATTTTTTTCAGGGCCCTTGTCACTAGAATGAAAACAATGTAGAAGTCTAAACATGCAGCGTATCATCTCATGGCTGCACACAACAGCTACAATCTATGATGTTTTGCCTTACTAACTGAAACATGCAATACATATACTGGTAAATGCAATCAAATGGTTCAGGTGGATCAACAAGTCACTGATGTCAGTGGAACTACCTAGCAAAAACTGACCTATCAAAAAAGTCAGTTAGCATTGTTTTAGAACTTTTCCTTGTGTCTAGCTGTACAAAACTGTCACAAAACTAATTAAGTTTTATTGCAAATTTTCTACAGGTATACATTTATGTTATGAGTGTCAGGTAAAAGACATTTTATTAAGCATGAAGACTAGAGAAAAATCTCTAATGACCCAGATACATAAATTTCAAACACCTCAATTTATTTGTAGCAACAGATGAAAATGCAAAGACTTACTTCTCAGACTGCTTGACAAATGCTCCTCCATCCAATAGTCGGACTTTGGTGTAAACAAGTTGATTGACCAGAGGCACATGCTCAAGTTCCAGGACACAAAATTCTACTTGAAACCTGTAACGCTTTTTTCTGGACATTATGTTCATTGTTTGCTGTCTGATGATTCAGTGATTGCCAATCATGTGCGTCTTCTGTGCTCCAGAGTAGCAACTCTGGAATAGCATAATGAAATTGATTCAATTTAATTGTGGAAAAAGTGAGCAATAAAAATTTCTTAAGGAGTTAAATAGATATTTATAATGTATAAAATAGTATCAAAATAATCGGATGACAGGTTTTAAGCGCATGGTATGGGTTTCGTTGTTAAAAATAACATGGGTCAATAAAACAAGTCATTATAGTTTTTTAATATTTTTCACATGTAATACAAAATCCAGAAAATATGAATAATCTTCTTTTGATTATAGAATTGTTTTCAGCTCTAGAATAAATGAAACTACAAAATGTCAATTTTAAAAGCAGATGAATTGCACTAATTCAACATACATAATATATATTATGGTTTATATATAATAAACAAACCGTGTCATGGAATTGTTCACTCAAAACTTTACTCATACTTTCAACAATAGCGCAACATTTCTGGCATATTGTGCAACAAAATGTGGCACAAATACTGTCTCAGAATGTGTTGTCAAGTGTTGTGCCTTTGGTCACACCCTACAACAGAAACAAATGGCAGCAAAACAAAATAATAAACATTGGCCAAAGTGACTGGGGTGACTTTGGCCACCAGGGTGACCGGCCAATGTTTATTATTTAGTTTTGCTGCCAATTTGTTTCTGTTGTAGGTGTGGCCGAAGTCACCCCCGGTGGCCAAAGTCACCCCACTTGACGGTACCCATGTTGCAGAATCTACCTATGATTAGCATTTGCAAATAGTGCTAAAAAAAGAAGAACGCTATTCTGCGACACTTCACAAATTTCTCACAAGGCAATATTTTTTCAACAGTTATGGAAAATTCTGTCAATTATTCCAGATCCTGACCCAGCTGACAAACAGCAAAGTAAGTGCAGTATCTTCTAAGTAGCAACTTATTAGTCATTTAAAGTAGAGCTTTTCTGTTATTCTGGTAGCTGCAAGATTTTTGCTACTGTCAATATATAGACCACTGCTTAGCAGAAGCTGTATTTACCCTGCCACTTATCATTTAAAAAATGCTTGATCTTTGTCAGAACTACAATTTTTTCAGTATCATAACCACATTTCTTACAAATTTGATTGCACTAGAGAGACGTGGTACAGTTTTGTTCAGAAAATAGATTGTTTCTATTGATTGCTAGCAACTCAAGTGCTGGGGCGACATTATCAGCATTGACTGTAGATTAATCATGTAGGTATTGACTGTTGGGATTCGAGTTTTCCTACTTGTTACTTAAATCTCAAGGCTTCAAAAAGACAAACTATCAATAAATTTGAAATCTTGTGGCTCAATTATGTTATTTTTAAACAATTAGATTTATATCTTGATTGTGCTATTTTTTTAAAAATTATCTTAAAAGTTAGAGGTAGGTAATTCATTTAGCTTGAGTATTATTGCCTGGAAATAGAATGAAAGCTCTAATTGAGGCTCAAAATGAAGATGTTTTCCACAGTAGAATCATCTTCTAATTGTTAAATAAACTGCATAATCAAGCCATGACATTCTAAAGTTATTGAAACTATTTCATTTAGGAGCCACAAGATTTCATAATTAGGTAGTTAATTAACAATCATGGCCAAAATAATTAACAAAATTTGAACATTGGGCACAATTTGATTTAAATTGGAGGTAAAAACAATAGTTTTATAGGTGATTTTTGAAAATTGCAAGTGAAATTAAGAAGTTTTTCACATTTTTTATGGGAGAAATTAAGAATGGGCAACAGAAAAGGGTGGAATCAGCTGAATTTATGGATGATTTTGTTGGATTTATGGGGATAGTGGACTAGTGATAAACTAGTTTTTTTTTAAATCAGTTAATTATTAATTCCTTAATTAGTTAATAATCATTATTATTAATTACCTACCTACTTAAGATTCAAACCAATATTATATATAGGATAGTGCTACTATATATAGGATATTTATAGCCTAACATGTGTAACCGGAAACACCGCCGCAAAGTTGAAATATTTAAAGGGTAGCGTGCCGACTTAGTGTAGACTTTCATACTGCTCCGAAACGCAAGGGCTAAAGAGTCGCTCTTTGTTCTGGCTCTAAATTCCCTTGCATTGTAGAAAGGAGTAATGAACACAATGAACTTTTTGTAGTATACTGGTAATCTTCAGACAAATACAAGTTTCTGCATACGAGGTGCAAAATTTATTATTCGTCTTAATCCAAAAGTTTGCGGAAAAAGGCTTGACATTACAGGGGTACAAACAGCCAAAAAACCCACACAGTATGAGCCCTAATACACAGCTGCGAATAACAAAATGGATAGCAAATGGCACGGGAACTAACCGCACCAAGATGCCAAGACCAGCCGCAGAGACTAGGGGTTCTAGCCCTAATACACCGCGAAATCACAAAAGGATAGCAAATGGTACGAGAACTAACCGCACCGAGATGCCGACAACAAACCGCAGAGACTAGGGGTTCTAGCCCTAATACACTGCCAAATCAGCAAAACATACAGCAAATGGTACGGGAACTAACCGCACTGAGATGCCAACTACGAACCGCAGAGACTAGGGGTCCTAGCCCTAATACACTGCCAAGAACACGGAGATGAACAGCAAATGGCATGGGAACTAACCGGACCGAGATGCTAATAACCACACAGGAACGGGGTGGCAGTTACGCCTCAAAAGCACAACTATTGGAGGGTACTAGCCACCAACAAGCCACTGACAATCAACTCGAGCGCAGAGGTTATTAGCCTCTACCTCGAGGGTGCGAATTGAACAGCTGTTAACTGCCCAACGCAGCCATAACCTGGAACTATCCAAGAACTCCACCTACGCCGTTATTAGTCTGTTAGAGGAACTCATTAAGAGTTATGCCCGGAACTGCGGTGGAGTTTATTCTTGGAAGCCCAAATTTAGCTCTGCCTGATTCGAGTCAAAACCGTGTCACCCCAACCCAGCAACACTGAGCACACACAACTTCCGAGCACACACAACGAGGAGGTAACTCAGCCAAAATGAGCTTACCTCAACACTTCGTTTACAATGTACAAGAAATGGGCTACTAAATTCGTCTATATGCAAAGATATAGACAACATAGTATATTACAACAAAATAGAATCATAATATAATCTTTTGGTCAAATAATGATAAGTGAAAGTTGATTTAAGATAGATTAACTCGAGGATAATTACTCGCGATCGCCTGAGTTGATACCAGTTCGTCAATAGACTAGACAAATG